TCCTCCCATGTAATTGCTCGTCATCAGTTCAAGCTGCATGACATTCTTGCACAGTGTCTCAAAGACAGTGAACTACCTTCAAAGGGGACTGTCTCCAAAGTGGATCATTTCTGAGTAATGAGATGCTGAGAGTTTTTAGCCATTGTTTTGGTCTCTACTGGATGAATAAACAACCAAAACATCCCAAAAAACAGCATTATGAAACAAAAGTGAGCTGTTACAACAAAAGCTGTTACACAAAATAGTGTCWTTCACCTCAGCTCTACGTCTCGGAGCTGTGATCATTTTAGCTTGTCAGAGAAAGGATGCACCCTCAGGTCAAACAAAGATAAGGGTCTTTGATATAATTAAGCCAGCGTCAAACGGCCACTAAATGAGTCCTGTGAAGATAAAGAAGTCTAGACTGACAGGTCTGATAATAGTCCAAACAAAGAGAAAGTGGAGAGTAAAGGCTTCTTTTCAGGAACTTAAGTGGACTGCCCAGAGGACACCAGAAAATATGGCTCATCTGTCAGGGACAGTGGGAATGGATACCATCACTGARGCTTCAGGCAGGGAAAGTAGGATCTAGGACCGCCTACAAGTAGTGCAACGTCTGTTGTATTTCAAGTTTAGGTTGCCTTCACTTTATCAAGAACTACGAACGTAAAAACCATATTTATCCCACGTTTGAGCTGATACGCTCATAAATGTAGACTTTAAAAGATACCCTGGCTCTGTGAATGCTCATATTTTAACTACAGTAAAACAAAATTTATCTCTTCACAAAAAATATTAGGCAAGGCAAGTTTTATATAGGACATTTCAGCAACAATGCAATTTAAAATGCTTTATATGATAAAAATATTTTAAGAACAGTCAAAGGCAACTCCGAACAAATGGCTGATGTAAGTTTATGTGACAGAGTGTCTGCTACATTGGTATTACTGTATAAGAAATGGATTCAACAAGTTGTTTGAAGCCTTCCTCTGGGATTTTGGCTCATATTGACACGGTAGTATCACCCAGTTGCTGCAGATTTGTCCGCTGCCCATACATGGAGTGAATTTCCAGTTCCTTTACATCCCAAGGGTGATCAATTGGAATGCGATTTTGTGAAGGTGGATGCCACTGGATTTGAGTCAGTCAAGACTCATCAGAGAAGTCAGTGGTTTTCCAGATTCTCATTGTCCAGGTTCGGTGAGCCTGTGTGAACTGTAGCTTCAGTTTCCTGTTCGCAGGAGTGGTGTGGTCTTCTTCTGCTGTGGCCCATCTGATTTAATAGGGGGGTATTGTGCAACATTGACTGTTTTTATTCTCTATATCATGTTATACATGTATCGTCAAAAACATACCCAAAGTGTTGCTTTGACTCATCCATGAATATTTGAGAAATCCTTGAATCTCCTGTGGTAGTCATGTGGAGCTGTTTAAACACTTGCTGGTACAAAGCTCTGCCTATTTGCTCATAGCACCTCCCTGCAGCTCAGACTTCAGCCAAGCTCCCGCCCCACAGAGCACTCCTCCCCCGAAGCYTTGTTGTGAAGATGTGCTGAAGTGGGAGTGTCTGAAATGGTAGGGGGTTCCTACAGAGACAGAAGCTAACTTCAAGGTGTTTAGATAGGCTATGATGCAAAGTCATATTTATTTTTGACATACACAATGTTTTCATAACAACTGAAGCTAACAATTACTTGATTGTGGTATGGAAATGAACCATGTGCCTGGAAAATACATACCCCCCCACCCCCCACCCCTTTGAGATTGGAAGTGTCTTGTGTTCAGAGACTGTGTTCTGTTTGTCTTCTTCTTCTTTATCCATTCAGTCGATTCTGACCATTGGTCACTCGATAGATCAACTGTCTCTAAGCACTTCTATCCTTTACTACTTCTTTTAATTGTGACATATTCTTGCTGGTGTCTTGTTTGATGGTATCAAGCCAACGAGTTCTTGGTCTGCCTCTTTTTCTTCTGCCACTGACCAATCCCAACATGACATCTTTCTCCAATGACTGGCTTCTAATGATGTGTCCAAAGTATGTTAGTTTTTGTTTGGTGAACCTTGCTTCAAGCAAGATATTCGGTTTGACTCGTTCTAATACTGGATTGTACTGTTTGTAAAGAGTGGTTTTTGAGCTTCGGTTGCCTTTTTATCATCTCTAACCAGTCGGCCCATTCTCTTGTGACCTCTGACATTAACAAGCCTTTTTTTCCACACATAGATGTAAAACATCTCTGTAAAATAAGTGTTTACACACAAAGAAGTGCTATAACAAGCTTGTTAAACAAATTTAAAAGAAGTCCATTAAATACTTAAATATTTTTTTGCATAACCATTAATATGCTAACCCTTCACACCCTGAGGGCAACAACTATAGCACTGAATTCATGTGAACTTGTCAGCTGTTGCTGTAACTGCACAGTTAGTTTTGTTCAGGTTTTTCTGAGATAACTAGTTTACCATTTTCAACCAGACTACAGAACCTCTCAAAGTGAAACAAAGTTGATTGCCAGCTATTCTGGACCCTAAATAGACCTGTGATAAACATAGATCCTGGCTGATTGAGTGACAGATAAACAAGTATGTACAACTCTTCACATTTGGTGGTAAAATCTAAGTGATCAGATCTCAGTTGATCACTCTATGTGAAAAACAAACAAACATAGCCACACCCCACACTGAGCTGCCAGATGATTTACAAACAGAACATCAGCAGGTGGATTGACGTCACAAACACCAGAACCCATTGTTTATTTTTTATTTTTTTTTAATTTTTTTGTACATTTACACAATTCAGATTCACCCGAGATGCATTTTTGTGGAATTATTTACACAACTATTGATGAATGTCAGGTTTGTGGGGTGGAGGTGGATGCAAGAATGCAGACAGGCAGCAGCAGGCAGATTTATTAAATCAACAAAAAAAATCAGAGTAACTTTCAGGTGACTACAGCAGCAACGAACAATAAATAATTCTGAGGCAAACTGTAATGACTCAGGAGAATAAGGGAAACACATGGGAATGTTAAAAAACTTTTATTTGTTGTTTAAAGATAAACCTATTACCATGGCAGAAGTCGTCAGTACCTCAAAAGCTTCCTGGTTGCTGTTGGATGAAGGACCATGACAGTGCACTCCAGGCTGTTGAAACCTGGCTGACTGATGAATCTCAGATTTAGGAGTAGCAGTGTGGCTTGCATCCTAGTCACCCAACAGAAACTTTATCTTTGCAGTGGTGCCCAATCAGGGTCCTCCAGGGCCACTATACTGCGTTTTTGAAATATTTGTCTGCTTTGACACTCCTGATCTGAATGACTTGAAGACATGCAGAAAAGCAAAGAAACAACTAAAACATGCAGGACAGTGGCCTTCAAGAACCAGGCTAGCGCACCACTGCAGAGGATCCTAGATGTTTGACTGTCCAGTCTGTGTGTGTTTTTGTGGGCTAGGAAAAGGCTTGTGACCATGTTCCCTGAGGCATTTTGTGCCAAGGTTGCTGCAAGATTATGGGAGATTAATGGCTGTGTCTGGATTCTTGGTGCAGGTTGCACCAGAGCTGCTCTTTGTCTTCAATCCTTTTTGCATTATTAATGGACAGGATTTCAAGGTGCAGTTCACATAATGAAATAATCTGCACTTCAATTTAAAGTGCCTGTGACATCAGATTTTCATGATACAATAACAGTAATAAATTTGACATCACTTCCTGTTTCACTCTGGCTGCACCAAGTTCAAAAAAGATGCCAGTTATGTAACAAAATATGTAAAGTCATGTGTATTATGTTATTTTTAAAGGGGTCCCTGATTAGTTGTAACATTAGACTTTACTTGATAAACACATATTTTAACTGTAAAAAAAAAAGACTGTAAATATACTGTAGGCTGTTTAGTTTTGTAAATTTTTAAAAATAGATTTTAACACAGYCYGAGCCATTTTATTTACACACAAAGCATTCTGGGTAAATGATGACGTGGATAGGTCCTCGGTGTGAGCGAGCTATATCCACCCTGAAGGTTAATCTTGGACAATATCTGATGATCAACTCTTTTAAATGAAACCAGTAAGCATTGACAGACAAAAGGTAGAAACAATTCAGCCTGTCGATGTTATAATGCCTTATATAGATTAGCTCAGTGCTAGCGTGACAAACAAGCTAAACTGAGGTCCTCCATCAATATTTTCAGTTTCAGGCTGTCATTTTTACGTTCCCCTCTTTATCATGTGGATGGAGGACCTCAGTGAGGAGAGGAGAATGTGTAGCGCTGAGGTGATATCGTCGGGGATAACGCTAAAGCTAACAGGCAAAGCTGAGGTTGTTCTTCCATGAAGCAGCTCTGTTGTCCTCCATCCATATTTTCAGCTATGGTAAATGGACTGTACTTATATAGCGCCTTTCTATCCATTCAGGACACTCAAAGCGCTTCACACCACAGACATTCACCCATGCACACACACATTCACACACTGAGTTACAGGCTGTCATTTCTACCTTCTCCTCTCTGTCCACGCTCTCTGGTTTCATTAACTGTTTTTACAGTCTTTATTTTACAGTTAAAATATGTGTTTGATAAATAACGTCTAATGTTACAACTAATCATGGATCCCTTTAAATATAAGGATGTTTTCTTCCACTTTTTGTATTTGAATGAAAAGCAAGTCACAGGCACTTCAAAGAAGTTTGTTCTTTAACAAATTCAAACATTAAATCTGCACCTTTCCAGAAATGTCCAGTAAACACTTGCAGAGATGTCCATTTATTGTTACATCACTGGAAAAGTATAAGTTAGGAAATGAAAATTTGTGCTTAACTTTTCACATATTTTATACTGTATAAAGAGAATCATTCTTTTGTGCGTTCCTAACTCCCTAAAAAGTAGCTTTCTTTCCACACTAAATCTAAGAGTGTTTTAAAAAAGTCTGGTTGGTAATGCTGAATCAGCAGGAGTGAAGAGACAGTGGCAGCACTCAGCTGTAGCACAGTCTGGCACAACATTAACAAAGGAAATGAGCAAACCACACAGCAAATAACAGGCTTTTATTCAACACGCCGGGGCCCCACAGCTTACATCTTGGTGCCAACACCAGTCACTTACAAATAAACACATTTATGAGAAATATCGCACACCAATTACTAAAGTTGCCTGCAAGACAGAATTTTAGCTTTGCTTACATTGGCATGAGTTTTAAGATTTATGCTGAACAGATACGTTTAAACGTGTCAGATATTTAGTTTCCAAATTAGTCCTGAAGAGTAAATAGAACAATAATAGATCTCAGTCGGATTTGAAATAATTCACAAGCAGCACTGTATTTTTTTATTTAAGTCAGATTATCGTTAAACTGACAAGCCCAGTAATTTATAGCCACTACACTTTTATATCTGGGTAGTGAGCCTTTATACAAAGGAAAAAACACATTTGTTCAAAGCAAAATAAAAGTTGCAATTGGGCAATCACTAAAAAAGTGTAGAAGTGAAACTCAGAGAAAGCTAAAATGTTGAAGACATCATGACATCACATCCTATTTGAATATGGACAGGTCATGATAAAGTAATGGGGAGAAGAGGACGGTGTTGCATTGCTGCATCAAAGTCCTGAGTCCTGTTTGAAAGCCATAAACTATAAATGTTGAACTCAACATTAGTCACTAGGACATTAATTATTTATGCCAACACATATTATAGATACTGGAATTTTTCGATAGTCATTTACGTGTATGACCACTTCAGTCCTTTTGAGTTGATTCTTCTATTTGTCTCTTCAACAGCCTAATCTTAAGTGTGTAATACTCCTGCTGAAGCTTGAGAACTGCCTCCTGTCGTCTCAGAACAGACATTTCCAAATCTGCTCGCTCCTGCAGTGTTGTGCACTGTGCTGATGGAGGAGCGGAGCGGGGAGTTTCCAGGTGTTCTCCTGAGCCGGTGAAGGTAGCGCCATGAGGAACATTAAATCCCACTGTGAGTGAGTTAGAGACATTTGTTAATGTCAACTTTTGCTCCGTAAGAGATGTTTGCTCTGTTTCCTCTTGCTTGTTTGGGAAGTTTCCATTTATTGCCAGATCATTTTCATCATCACAACTGCAAACAAAAATATCATCTTTTTTTAAGGATTAGTTGTATTAGGTGAAACAAATTTTTACAGATGAAATGCTGAGTAAATTTTCAAAATCTACAGATGAAATGTGTTACCTATTTTGCTGAGTTTGCATCATTTCCGAGACGTAAGAGTCCTCTTTGTCCTGCTGCAGCATATCTGAGAGGTTCATCACAGAAATGGCTATTTGAGTCACTGCACTTAACTGTTCGATAGAAAGCGGCTCACCTGTGATAGAGGAATAATGTGTTAGTTAAGAAGAAATTATTTTAACTGTAAAAGTACAGTGGGGAGTTCAGGGTAAATTTCCTATATTCTCCACCTGTAACTCCCTGCTTTTTCTGGCGTTTGATCTCCTCCCTTGCCTTTGCCAGCAGGTTTTCCCATTTTTTGCTACAATCTGAAACCGTTCGCTGAACTTGTGGAAAGGCAGCATTGACAGTTTGAACTATCTCTTCCCAGGCGTGTTTCTTGTCTTGGACCGATACTCCAGTGTTGTACCTCCCTCTGATAATGTGCTTTCTTTCCTGCATTAACTGAGCAAGAAGAAGAGATTCCTGCTCCGTCCAGTTAGGTCTCCTCCTCCTGCTGGACATCCCTTCATCAGGCTGTAAAGACATTTGTCCTAGAGAGATAAAGAAAGGTAGATTTTTTTTTTATCATGTCAATATTTTTCCAAACCAGGAGCTCATTTTATACTATCCTGTATAGGTGTGCCTCAGGTCTATTACACTGTATCATAAAAAAGATGAATTAGCCCAACAGCTTTCCATCAAGTTTTTCAGAAATCAATTAACCATGAACTAAAATAAAACAGGTGTGATGTAACAGAGAAGCAATTAAAATATACAGGACAGGATTGGAAAATAAATATGTCCAAACATGAAATTAGTTTTAAAAAACATACGAACTGCTTAAACTACTCAATATGATTAAAAATATTTAGTAAAGACAATTATAAGCTTCCACTTAAGACTTGTCGCCTTAAGTGTTATTATTTAAGATATCATTTTGTTTCTTAAGACTCTTGCAACATAAACAGAGAGAACAAACAGTAACTGGATATTGTGTCGGACACTTACAGCATAAGAGAATAAAGAGACGCACTTAATTCTATATTAACAAAATACATTTAAAACCTCTTTAAGGTAAAACCTTAAGGCTTTCTTCGCCATCTCAGGGAAAATCGGCAGTGTCGCAGGACAATGACGTCACGCTCGYTAACGTGTCAGTTTGTTTACCACGTAGCGCTGCAGCTGCACACAGAAATATCATGGCTGTGGATATAACGTTACTTTTTAAAGCCAGCGTAAAAACAGTCAAAACCAGGAACAAGGCTATAGGAATAGGCTTTGACTCCYCGAAAGATGAGATTTTTAAGAAAAGCAGAACGAAGAGCGGCTTCTCGCCTAGAGCTAAAGAAGTGGTGAGTACTTTACCAAAGCTAGCTTTAGCTTAGCGACACCGCAGTGTTTGTTCAATGACAGTTTCATTTCTAAACTTTACCCATGAAATTTGCTCTTCCGATGTCTTAAAGCAGCCGTAGCCGCTTAATAAAAGAGTGCTGCAGCTGTTCTCAGGCAGTAGCTGACTGGGAGGGTGACTACTAGCTTAAATTGTTTAAATAATTCTAGTTAAGAAGACTTTATTTTAACACTGATAGTGCAGTGGTGTTTTCAGGATYTATTTCACTAGTTTGAATTTTATTGATCTAAATGTATTGCTTACTCTTGTTTATTGAAATTACTGGTCATTTGGAACAGTTCTAGCATTGAGGCTAATTCGTTTAGAAAAAGTGAATTGCTTAGCTTTTAAAGTAGAAAGTCTTGAATAAAATATACAATGATCATCTTAAAAATCTCGACCATACTCTATAGTGTAGTGATTCTATTTCTTTTTTTCTGTAAGAACACAGAACAAATTCACTCTTCATTGTCAAATCTAATTTGCTTTTTACAGACAGAGTTGTTGCCTAAACACGTCCATCATAGTGGGTGTATTTTGTGTATTAGTGAGACATTGCTTCAGATTAAATATCCTTTATTTAGGTTGAAATATGCTTCCCATAAAGTTTCTCTTGGGACATATTTGATTTAGTTTCAGTATTTTGTTTTCAAAATTTCAAATTGAAAATTAAAATAAGAGTAATTAATTGTATGCYTCAGATGCACTTTGTTGTACTGTTGGGTGTTTGTCAAGTCGAGCTTCTCAGAGTTAGATACACAATTTTAGAAACATTTATCCAAACATTAATAGAAACCGCAAATGCTCATTTTTTAAAATGTCCTACAMCTAGTATCTTAATGAGCTCTGAATGTTGGGAAACTAATTGGTGTCTCAAAATTTTGGAAAAATAGGGAAAAAATCATTGCAGTCTCACTGTGTTCTGAGTGTATGTGAGCCTGTGCATGTTATTTTGTTGTCCACATCATATTCACTTTTGCATCCACTGTGGCAGCTGCCCACACATTTGTAATTTAATTTGCTGATGAACACTTTACCTATAAAAGCAAGCTGATTTGGACTATTTATTTTATAAATTAATGTTTATAATCGGTGTGGGTTTGTTTTTTATTTACTTGGACATTTGCCTCTGATTTCTGTCAGCTCCTCTGCAGGTGTCAAATACAGCTTTATTGCTCTTGAGACTTGTGACTACCTGCATCACATCTGAGGTAGATTTGGGTCAAGTTGGAGTTCAAAACTCAAATGACAGAACTCATGCCTCTGTGACTCATGCAAGGAAATGAAGAACCATGCAAATGTTACACAATAAAACTCTGACACATTAGAAACCCCCTCGTGAATGTAYATAAGTAAGTAAAGTTTTATTTATAAAGCGCCTTTTCACAGAAATATATTCACAAGGTGCTGTACAATCATTAACAGTATAAAAATGGTGAAAAGAATAAAATGAAACAGAAAAACATAATTACACATTAGCAACGAAAAMTGAACATCAAATCAAGAATTAATTTCTAAAATTGTAAATCAAACACAAGGTCAATGCAYGTCAAAAAATACAGTAATACACAAAAACATAATGAATGCGGGAGAGAAAAATATGGCGTAAATTCAAAAGTAAAGAAAACAGATWAGCGAAGCATTCACAATGGAGGTAGGCTGGCAGTAATGGTGAAATGGTTAGCTAAACGCTTGAGAGAAAAAGTGAGTTTTTAGGAGTGTCTTGAAAGAGACAATGRTATCAYTGGAGCGCAGATTAAAAGGGAGTTAGAGCCTGGGGGCCACAGAGGAGAAGGCACGGTCACCACGGGTCTTAAAGTGAGTGAMGGGAACCATAAGGAGATGTTGATCCTGTGAYCGGAGGTCRCGTCTGGGGTTGTAAGGGGAAATGAGACTTTTAATGWATTSTGGGGCTTGGCCATGAAGAGCTCTGAAGGTGAGGACCAGGATTTTGAACCGGATTCTGAACTGAACCAGAAGCCAGTGAAGTTCTGCTGGGATCTGGGAGATGTGGGTGGGTCAGTGTTGGTGACAGAATATGAACTATGTTTTATTTTCATCAGGACCCCCACCCCCCACCCCCACTCCCACCTGAAAAAGGAAAAAGGAGCTTGTTCTAAACCAGTTGTTCCCAAACGTTTTGTCTTCTGACCCACAAAATATTCATGGCAAAAACTTGTGACCCCAAATATTACTGGTCCGAGTACATGAACTTCATTAACAACCCTAAACAGCTTGTACACAAATATAAATAC